AGCTAGTTTTTTCCTTTTGGTAGAAACAAGGTCTTGCCATGTTGCCCAGGCTGGCCTTGAAGACCTGGGCTCAAGCGATCCTCCTACCTTGGCCTTCCAAAGTGCTGGAATTACAAATGTGAGCCACTGCCCCTGGCCTATGGTAACTTTTTTCTTTCTTTCTTTGAGATGGCATTTTGCTCTTGTCACCCAGGCTGGAGTGCAGTGATGCAATCTCAGCTCACGGCAACCTCTACCTCCTGGGTTCAAGTAATTCTCCTGCTTCGGCTTCCCGAGTAGCTGGGATTACAGGCACCCACAACCATGCTCAGCTAATTTTTGTATTTTTAGTAGAGATGGTTTCTAGTACTAGTAAGTTTTTAGTAGTAGTAGGTTTCACCATGTTGGCCAGGCTGGTCTCAAACTCCTGACCTTAGGTTATCCACCTGCCTTGGCCTCCCAAAGTGCTGGGATTACAGGCATCAGCCACCGTGCCTGGCCTGGTAACTTTTTAAATAGAAGCTGTAGAAAACTAGCACACGATTTATTTATAGGTTTAGTTTATTCATTTTAATTGCTATCTAGAATTCCACTATATGTGTCCTTTGCCTATTACTTCTCAAAATTATATTTGGGAGATTCAATCACACTGCATGTGCCCATATTTTCTATAGTTTTATTAGTTTTCTTTTGAATGACTATACAACATTTTATTTCTTTATAATCCTGTTGATGGACATTATTTCCATTTTTTTTTAATAAGCAATGCTATGAAAATTTTTGAATTTGTTTTCTATGTATATGCATAAGAATTTCTCATAGGGGCTGGGCACAGTGGCTCACACCTACAATCCCACATTTGAGAGGCCAAGCTGGGAGTATCACTTGAGCCCAGGAGTTCAAGACCAGCCTGGACAAGATAGCGAGACCTCATCTCTACAAAAAATTTAAAAGCTAGCCGGGCATAGTGACATGCACCTGCAGTCTTAGCTACTCAGGAGGTTGAAATGGAAAGATCTCTTGAGCTCAGGAGGTCAAGGCTTCAGTGGGTGTTGATCATGCCACTGTACTCCAGCCTGGGCAACAGGGCAAGACCCTGCCTCAAAAGAAACAAAAAGATTTTCGTAATAGGCCAATGGGTTGATAGCCCACTGGGATAATGGATCTAATGTGCAGCCGGGTTTTTAACTGAAGGGGAGTGGAACTGCTGGATTGTAGGGAGTATGCATCATTAACTTCATTATATGGACTAAATTGCTCTCCAAAGTGGTTCTACCAATTTAACCTCCTCTGGCAAGGCATAAAGGCATCCATTTTCCTATAAATTCAAATTTGACTTTAAACTTTTTGCCAGTATGATGAGCATAAATGGCTTCTCCTTTTTATTTTAATGTGCATTTCCCTGATTACTAGAAAGGATGAACATGTTTACATATGTTTATTGGCCATCTGCCTTTCCTGTTCCTTGAATTGTCTGGATAATGTGGAACAATACAAGAGACAGACCTGACATGCAGGACAACGCCAATGTGAAAATGTAATTGAACTTCCACAGGCCTTGATGGCTATTTAAGTAGTATTTATTAAATTTAAGTAACTTAAAGTGAAATTTATATGAGGAACTCATGAATGTATTATTTAATAAAATGTATCATGAATGTATCACTTAATAAAATCTAATAATATTTGTCTTTTCACGTGAAGAGTAATTTAAAGCTATTGAAACTCTGAGAAACTTTAATATGGCTCTTTTGACAAACACTTCCTACTTTTTTCTTTTCTTTTTTTTTTTTTTTTTTTTTGAGACGGAATCTCCCTCTGTCGCCCAGGCTGGAGTGCAGTGGCCGGATCTCAGCTCACTGCAAGCTCCGCCTCCCGGGTTCACGCCATTCTCCTGCCTCAGCCTCCTGAGTAGCTGGGACTATAGGCGCCCGCCACCTCGCCCGGCTAGTTTTTTGTATTTTTTAGTAGAGACGGGGTTTCACTGTGTTAGCCAGGATGGTCTTGATCTCCTGACCTCGTGATCCGCCCGTCTCGGCCTCCCAAAGTGCTGGGATTACAGGCTTGAGCCACCGCGCCCGGCCTTTCTTTCTTTTTTTGAGATGGAGTCTCACTCTGTTGCCCAGACTGAAGTGCAGGGGCGTGACCTCGGCTCACTGCAACCTCTGCTTCCTGGGTTCAAACAATTCTCCTGTCTCAGCCTCCCGAGTAGCTGGGATTACAGGTGACTGCCCCCATGCCCAGCTAAGTTTTGTATTTTTAGAAGAGACAGGGTTTCACTGTGTTGGCCAGGATGGTCTCGATCTCCCGATGTCAAGTCATCCTCCCACCTTGGTCTTCCAAAGTGCTGAGATTGCAAGCGTGTGCCACCGCATTCGGCCAACATGTCCTACTTTTTGTTTCTGATTTAGCACTCAAATGTCAAGAACATGAACCCATTTTTCATTAAATAATGAACACGTTAGATTCTAACCAGTGTATTTAACAATGAACACATTTTAGAATCTAACCAGTTCATTTAAGAAAAATTAAAAACTTCTAGCAACAAGGATATCATCTTGATAATTACTGAATGTTTAAAAGTATTTAATTCTTAGGTTAAAGAAAAGGACTTAGGAAACCACAGAGGGGCATGACGGCTGGGTGTTCTGCTCAATAGCTCTAAAGCTGCAGTGTGCGAGACAACCGCTTACTCCAAAGATCTGTTCATCCAACTGCTGATACTCTCCTTTCCCAGTTCCCTACTCTCCTCTGGCTCTTAAGTTGAGAAATACCAGAAGCAAAAAGTCAGAAATACCATGATGCTATCTGTGATTTCACTGCTCCCTCTTTCGGACATAGACTGCACCTGCACCATGAGAGTCATCCACTTTCCACGGCATAATAAAATAAGTGACTTTCATTTCTGTATTTCTACTTTGTAACCAAAACTATCAAAAGGTATTCAGTACATAAAGACTTCAAATTAATATCTTTTTATATATTTACCTATTTAATTCAGATATATCTATCTGCCATAGTGATATAAATATAGACAGGTAGATGGATGATAGAGAGATGGAGATATGGCTAGAGATATAGATAGATACAGGTGATAGGCTTGTTTTCCTTCTGTTTGTTTTTTCTAAGTCTTTGTGACATGGAATTTCCCTCCACAAAGCATTTGAAAATATTGTTATCAATTGACAATTTACCCTTGACTTGATGTCTTTTTATCAAATTCTATTTCATACCTTTTATTTTTTTTATTTTTTATTTATTTATTTTTTTTGAGACAGAGTCTCGCTCTGTCACCCAGACTGGAGTGCAGTGGCCGGATCTCAGCTCACTGCAAGCTCCGCCTCCCGGGATTATGCCATTCTCCTGCCTCAGCCTCCCGAGTAGCTGGGACTACAGGCACCCACCACCTCGCCCGGCTAGTTTTTTGTATTTTTTAGTGGAGACGGGGTTTCACCGTGTTAGCCAGGATGGTCTCGGTCTCCTGACCTCAAATGATACACCCGTCTCGGCCTCCCAAAGTGCTGGGATTACAGGTGTGAGCCACCGCGCCCGGCCATATTATTATTATTTTTGAGACAGGCTCTGTTTCAAAGGGCTGGAGCTGCAATCACGGCTCACTGCAGCCTTAACCTCTTGTGCTCAAGTGATCCTCCCACCTCAGCCTCCTGAGTAGCTGGGACTGCAGGTGTGTGCCACCATGCCCAGCTAATTTTTGTAATTTTGCAGAGATGGGGTTTCTCCATGTTACCCAGGCTGGTCTCAGAACTCCTGGGCTCAAGTGATCTGCCCGCTTTGACCTCCCAAGGTGTTGTGATTACAGGTGTGAGCCACCACGCTCAGCACCAACTTTATTAGCTTATATTTTATTCCTTTCCTTTCTATTCTTCCCTCCCTCCCTTCCTACCTTTCCTGCTTTCTCCCCTATTTTCTGTGATCTTTTGTAACTGCTGAAATGATCACATGTATTCCTTGCTACAGTGCAAGGTATATTGGGTAACAAAATATATGGGGAAGATAATAGCCATATATAAGTCAGAGGGTCCCTCTATTACTTTTGTTATTCATTAAGTTGAGCCAAGATTTTGTGGGCTTTACAATTAATTGGGAGATACAAGCATATGATGCAAAATTCATGTGGTATCAAAATGTATACAGTGAGGGAAAAGTCTGTTTTACACATCAGCTTCCCGCCTAAGGGACAATCTTCGTTGCCTGTTCCTTAACACATGTATTTTAAAAGCAAAATCCTCTGCACATGGTTAACAAAATGAAGTGGAATTTCAGAGCGATATTATGTTCCTCATTTAATGGAGAGAAAAAAGAATATGCCCTCAAATACCCTTCTGCCTCCCCTTCCCTCTCTCCCTTCCTTCCTTCTTTTTTGAGATGGAGTCTTGCTCTGTCGCACCGTCCCACCCTTCCCCTTCCCTCCCTCCCTCTGTCCCTTCTTTTTTGAGATGGAGTCTTGCTCTGTCGCCCAGGCTGGAGCACAGTGACACGATCTCAGCTCACTGCAACCTCTGTCTCCTGGGTTCAAACAATTCTCCTGCCTCAGTCTCCCGAGTAGCTGGGATTACAGGCGCGTGCCACTATGCCCGGCTACTTTTTGTATTTTATTTTATTTTTTCACTGTTTAAAGAATTTTTATTAAAGTCATAATTTTATAATCTGAATTACGTTTCCTTGCTCAGTTAATTCTGTTACTTAACACAGAACTGACATTTTGAGCTATTCCACAGTAAAGAATTACAAAATTAAAGAAAGGAATGCTTTAAATTGTTGTACTTTACTGAAAATTCTTTTTCCCAGAGTCTATAAAACATTAATGTGTTTTCATATTTTACTATTTGTGTGTGTGTGTGTGTTTAATTTTTAAATCAGTAAGTAGTCTAGGACTAGTGTTATGTTTGCTAGACCTGGCATTCGCTTGGTACATAAGGTTCAAAGTTTCTTTTCCTTTTTAAATTTATTTTATAATTTGCAATGTTTTTTCCATAATATTTACATTTTTCTTCTGTGAAGTACAAGTTTCTTTTCGTGGTCCCTGATCAATTTTAAACAGTTGGAACACGGGTGGCACTGTTAACTGCTTTCTGGGCAGCCTCTTTAGCTTGGTGGGCTTGTAGTACAGCTACAGCTTCATCAGCCTTAGAACAGAGTGACTCTGGAGACTCCAGCATATGAAGAAGTTCTGAATTACCAGTCTCCAACAACATGCCAGTGATTTTACCAGCAAGAGTAGGGTGCATGGCTTGAATAAGAGGAAACAGCCGTTCACCCAACATCTGCTTTTGCTCTTGAGGATGGGCAGATACCAACATGGAAGCAGTCAAAAGGTTCCTGACCTTGTACATGAACAGCAGGCTGTTGCATTGTAACCTGTGGCTGTGCATTACGATGTTTCTGAGGATTGTGAACTCCCGCAGCATAGTTATAATGTGGAGTTGCACAGCAGCAGCTGCAGGACATGGACCCATTGTCTGTGTTGATGTGTTAGCAACACGCTGTGTTGACATGACTCGTGGAACCGGTTAAGAAGTTGGTCTTATAGTACCAAATGGTGGTCTAGGAGCAGCTGGGCAGATAGCACTGGGCATATTTTGGAATGGATGAGGTCTGGCCCCCTAGGCAGTCCAGCGAGGACGTGGTCTTAGTTGAGCAATTTGGCTAGAAGGATGGTATGCAGCACCGTTCTGAGTCTGTGGGATAGCTGCCATGAAGTAACCTGAAGGAGGTGCTGGCTGGTAGGGGTTGATTACAGGGTTGGGCATAGCTCATACACTTGCCATTCTCTTCATATACTGGTTAGTGAGGTGAGCCTGGCACTCTTCTTTGCACTGAGCTAAAGCTACATACAATGGCTTTGTGGCCACAATTCTACCATTCATTTCTGTAACTGCTTTAGTGGCTTCTTCTGGTGAGGAGAAATATATAAAACCAAACCTTTTGCTGCGATCACCCTCCATCATAACCTTTGCACTACTGATTGTACCAAATGGAGAAAACTCTTTCCGGAGACGTTCATCATCAATGCCATCATCAAGATTTTTCACATAAAGATTAACACCGTGGTATCTGGTGATCCTATCTTGTTTCATCTGTTCAAACTTGCGCTTAAGTTCTGTCTGCCCTTCCACTTTTTTCTGAGCTCTGCCAACATAAATTTGTTTTCCACCGAGCTCCTTTCCATTCATTTCATCCACAGCTTTCTGTGCATCTTCAAGCCTTTCAAAGCTTACAAATCCAAATCCTTTGGATTTTCCACTTTCATCAGTCATTACTTTCACATTTAAGGTAGGCCGAAACTTGCCAAAGAGATCCTTAAGGCGCTCACCATCCATGCCTTCTCCAAAATTCTTAACGTAAACATTGGTGAACTCTTTTGCCCTAGCTCCAAGTTCAGCTTCTCCTTCTTTACGAGACGTAAATCGTGCAACAACTACCTTGCGATCATTTAGAAGCATTCCATTCATTTTTTCCATAGCTCTTTCAGCTGCTTCCTGTGTCTCAAAGTGTACAAATCCATAGTCCTTGGAATCATTTTCATCACAGACCATCTTACATGAAATTCAGGATGTTACCAAAAGGAGAAAATGTATCATACAGTGCTTATTATCAATGGATTTGTCCAGATTTTTAATATATGCAGTCCACTCCACTTCTGTGAAGTGATGGATCACGCTGAGACCACACGATGCCTACTGCCTTGCCCTTTATAACATCAAAATTCATAGTGTTCACAGCATGCTCCGCGTGCGCCGGCTGCTGGAAGTTCACATACGCGTAGCCCAAGGAGCAGCGGGTGATCATGTCCCTGCAGACCCGGATGGAGAGGATGGGCCAGGCCGGGCTGAACTTTAGAGCATCGCGTGGGTCACGTCGGGATGGAGGTCCCCCACGTACAGCGAGGACGGGGGGTAGCGGGGGGCACTGGGGTTCATCTCGGCACGGCTGCCCGCAGGGCCACGGGCCGCGACCTTTCTGTGAGAGGAGGAGAGTGAATACCAGGGCTGGGAGCCCGAGACGGGAGGAGGGGAGCGGGGGCAAGCGCAGAGGGCCAAAAATCACCCGGAATCGAAAACTACTCAACCGCCACAGGGCGGTGTTGATCCGCTGCCGCTGGCTGCGGGCGAGGGTGGCGGTGTCAGTCTGGGCAGCGGAAGGCCTCTGTCTCTTGGTTCCTTCTTGGAGCTGCTGCGGGCGGGCGGGTCGGCCTCGGCTGCTTCAAGGCGTTATTTTATAAAAGAGGAAGAAAAAAAAAAAAGTCAACGGCGGGGGAGAGGCAGATTTTTTGTACATTTTGGGGAAGTTTTAAAAATTTTTTTTAGTTTTTTTTTTTTTTTTTTTTTAAATAATAAGTGTATGTTCCGAGCCTGGAGCACATACTCCGCACTCTCAGCACTAACCGCCGGGGAGAAGGGGCTAATTGTGTATTTTCAGTAGAGACGGGGTTTCGCCATATTGGCCAGGCTGGTATGGAACTCCTGACCTCAGGTGATCTGTCCACCTAGGCCTCCCAAAGTGCTGAGATTACAGGCGTGAGCCACCACGCCCGGCCAGTTTTTCTTTTTTTCTGATGTAGGCACTTGTAGCTATAAAATTCCCTCAGTACTTAACTGCTTTTGCTGTATCCCATAGATTTTGGTATGTTATGTTTCCATTATCATTTGATTCAATAAATATTTCAGTTTCGTTTTTAATTACTTCATTGATCCACTGGTCGTTCAAGAGTATATTGTTTAATTTCCATGTGTTTATATAGTTTCCAAAATTCCTCTTGTTATTAATTTCTAGGTTTGTTTCATTGTGATCAGAGAAAATGTTTGATATTATTTCAGGTTTTTTTGTTTTTTTTTTTTTTAGACGGAGTCTTGCTCTGTCACCCAGGCTGGAGTGCAGTGGCGTGATCTCGACTCATTGCAACCTCTGCCTCCTGGGTTCAAGTGATTCCCTTGCTTCAGCCTCCCAAGTAGCGGAGACTACAGGCATGCGCCACCATGCCTGGCTAATTTTTGAATTTTTAGTAGAGATGGGGTTTCACTATGTTGGCCAGGCTGGTCTCAAACTCCTGACCTTGTGATCTGCCTGCCTCAGCCTCCCAAAGTGTTGGGATTACAGGTGTGAGCCACCATCCCCGGCCCAGTATTTTTTATTTATTTTTCTAATGTTTTAAGACTTGTTTTGTGACCTAAGAGTTGGTCTATTCTTGAGAATAATCTATGTGCTGAGGAAAATAATGTGTATTCTGCAGCCATTGGATGAAATGTTCTGTAAATATCTATTGAATCCATTTGTTTTATAATGCAAATTAGGTCCAATTTGTTAATTTTCTATCTGGAAGATCTGTCCAGTGCTGAAAGTGGGGTGTTGAAGTCTTCAGGTATTACCATATTGGGACCTCTCTCTCTCTTCAGCTCTCATAATATTTACTTTATATATCTGAGTGCTCCAGTGTTGGGTACATATACATTTAAAATTGTTGTATCCTCTTGCTGAACTGACTCCTTTATCCTTATATAGTGACTTTCTTTGTCTCTTCTTATAGATTTGTCTTGAAATCGATTTTGTCTGTTACAAGTATAGCTACTCCTGGTCTTTTTTGTTTTTTATTGGCAGGAAATATCTTTCTATCACTTTATTTTCAGTCTATGTGTGTCTTTGTAGGTGAAGTGTCTTTCTTGTAAGCAACAGATCATGGGTCTTATTTTTTTTTTTATCCCACTCTGTGTCTTTTGATTGGAGAGGTTAGTCCATTGGGGAGTTTGCATTCAATGTTATTATTGATAAGTAAGAACTTAACTTTTGCAATTTTGTTACTTGTTTTCTGGCTGTTTTGTGGTCTTCTTTCTTTCTTTTCTTCCTGTTTTCCCTTAGTAAATGTTATTTTCTCTGGTGATATGATTTAGTTCCTTGCTTTTTGTTTTTTGTGTATTCATGGTATGTTTTTTGGTTTGAGATTACCATGAGGCTTGCAAATACTATCTTATAACCCATTATTTTAAGCTGATAAAAACTTATCACTGTTTGTATAAACAAGCAAAAAGAAAGCTAATAAAAAGTTTACACCCTAACTTCATCCCCCCTTTCTAATTTTTTGTTGTTTCTATTTATATCTTATTGTACTGTTCATGTCTTAAAAAGTTGTCATAGTTATTATTTTTGATTGATTCATCATTCAATCTTTCTGCTTATGATAAGAATAGTTTACCCACCACAGTTACAGTGTTATCATAGTCTGTGTTTTTCTGTGTCTTTACTATTACCAGTGAGTTTTGTACCTTTTCTTTCAAATTGAAGAACTCTCTTTAGCATTTCTTGTAGGACAGGTCTGGTATTGATGAAATCCCTCAATTTTTGTTTGTCTGGGCAAGTCTTTACTTATCCTCTATATCTGAAGGATGTTTGCACTGGATATACTATTCTAGGGTAAAAGTATTTTTTTTTAATTCAGCATTTTAAATATGTCATGCCACTCTCCCTTGGCCTGTAAGATTTTCACTGAAAAGTCTGCTGCCAGATGTATTGGAGCTCCATTGTATGTTATTTGTTTGTTTTCTCTTGCTGCTTTTAGGATCCTTTCTTTATCCTTGACCTGTGGGAGTTTGATTATTAAATGCCTTAAGGTAGTCATCTTTGGGTTAAATCAGCTTGGTGTTCTTTAATCTTCTTGTACTTGGATATTTATATGTTTCTTTATGTTTGGGAAGTTCTCTGTTATTATCCTTTTGAATAAACTTCCTACCCCTGTCTCTCTACCTCCTTCTTAAGGCCAATAACTCTTAGATTTTCCCTTTTGAGGCTATTTTCTAGATCCTTTAGGGATGCTTCATTGTTTTTTATTATTTTTTTCTTTTGTCTCTTCTGACTGTGTATTTTCAAATAGTCTGTCTTCACGCTAATTCTTTCTTCTGCTTGATTCATTCTGCTGTTAAAGGCCTCTGATGTATTCTTCAGTATGCCAATTGCATTTTTCAGCTGCAGAATTTCTGCTTGATTTTTCTTATTTCAATCTCTTTGTTAAATTTTTCTTATAGAATTGAATTCTGAATTCCTTCTCTGTGTTATCTTGAATTTCTTTGAGTTTCTTCAACACAGCTATTTCAAATTTTTCATCAGAACATTCACATATCTCTGCTTTTCCAGAATTTGTCTCCAGTGCCTTATTTAGTTTTTTTGGTGAAGTCACATTTTCCTAGAGTGTCTTGATACTTAAGGATGTTTGCTTGTGTGTGGGCATTGAAGAGTTAAGTGTTTATTGTTTCACCTGAAGCCAGCAGGTCCCAGAGGTTCACTGTCTGGGTCAGACTACTGCAAATGTTCCCTTAAGGCTCAAGGGCTCTTAAGTCAGCTTTTTTTTTTTTTTTTTTTTGATGGTTCCTGGCCTGGGACTTGTCCTTCATGGCGATGTTCTCCCCTTGGCCCAAGGCAGGTTCAGAAATGCCCACCAAGAGTCAAGTCCTAGAATTGGGGACCTCGTGAGCCAACTTGATGCTCTACCTAGCTGTGGCTGTGCTGTTATCTAAGGTGCAAGACAATGTCCCCTTCACGTTTTCCTCTGCTTTTCGCAAGCAGAAGGAGTTTTCCCTGTAGCTACCACAGCTGGTAATATGCTGAGTCTCACCTGAAGCCAGCAAGTCCCAGAGGTTCACCAAGGCCCTTGATGTAGTACCTGGGTATAACTGGTGGTTATTCAGAGCCCAGGGGCTTTTCAGTTAGCAGGTGATGAATGCTACCAGGACTGGATCCTTCCCTTCAAAACAGTGGGCTCCCTTCTGGCCCAGGGCACGTCTAGAAATGTTGTCCAGGAGCTACGGCCTGGAACAGGGGCCTCATGACTCTGACGCTTTGTCCTGCTGTGGCTGACCTGGCATCCAAGATTCAAGACAAAATCCTCATGGTTCTTCCCTCTCCTCAAGTGGAAGAAAGGGGTCCTTTTGGAGCTGCAAGCTGTGCATCCTGGAGTTAGGGGAGGGGCGATGCCAGCACTCCCTTTGCTATGCCAGCTAATGTCTCAGTAGGTCATGTGCCCCCGAAGTCCACTGTCTCTGGGCCTAGTTCAGCACTAGGACTCACCCAAGAATTGCAATCCTATGGCCAAGACTTCCTTTCAAGTTTATTTAGAGACCTAGAGCACTTTAGCCCTCAGTGGCAAGGTTTGTGGGAACTCAAGTTCAGACTGCTGGGGTTGGCAATTCCCCTCTGGCTAGGGCTGGTTGAAAGGCTCCCTCTGTGGGTGGATGCCAGCTGAGGTTGGTCCGGTTTTCCTTTCTGCTCCAACAGAACAGCACGCAGAGTTTAGTGCCTCATAATTGCTGTGTTTTCCCTCCCCCAGCACTCATAGATGCTCTTTGCACCATGCCACCAATGCCACGGGATGAGGAGGGGTGGCACTGATGATTCAGAACTGTCTTCTCTATCTCTTCATTGCCTCTTTCAGCAATAGAAAGTTAAACCCAGCTATGATGAGGGCTTGCCTGATTTTTGGTTCCTATGAAGGTGTTATTTTCTGTGTAGACCATTGTTAAATTGGTGTCTTTGCAGTGGGGAGTGGGAAGGAGATCGGTGAAGACTTCTATTCCACCATGTTGCTGTACCTTCCCATATCCCATTACTGATAATGTATTGATCACTTGGTTAAGTTGCTGCTTTCTTGACTGTAAACTTGTATGTTTTTTCCTTTGTAACTACTTAAGTATACTGCGAGGAAATACTTTGAGACTATGTAAATCTCCTGCTTCTTATCAGACCACTAATTTTAGAAGAATTGGTTAACCTATCAGAGAAGAGTGATTATCTTTCATTTCCTAGAAATGCATAAGCCAGACAATAAGGGAAAGCATCCCTGAAAGCCAAATGTGCTAGTCAGGATGGGCTGGGTTATGCTGTGACAACAAACAACCCTCAAATCGCAGTGACTTAATACAGTAAAAGTTTATTTATCTCATTTTTCATGTTCATTGTGAGTTGCTGGGGGGTTCTTCTCACTCAG